AGAGGAGTAGTCGCTGCCGTAGTACTTGAGTCGGCTGGACCACTTGCGACGGTAGCCCGACGTGTAGCCGCTGCCGGCGTAGAAGGTGCTCCCGGTCGAGCTGGCCGAGGCCAGACGGGCTTGGCGCTCGGCGTCGCGACGAGCTCGCTCTTCGGCCTCGAGCTTGGCGCGCGCCGTCTCCACGACACCGTCCAGGCATGCCCGACAGAAGCTGTGCATGCACTCGAGCAATTTCGGCTCTCGATAGACCTGCTGGCACAGGCGACAGGTCAGAAAATTCGCCTCCAAACTCTGCCGGATCTCCATGTCGGCGCCGGGCCTAGGCCCGAGGCCTGAGACAAAGTGAAGCAGCAGATCCACGGTGTCGGCCGGCACGACTTCACCACCGGACTGCGTCGTCTTGACGACCGAGATAGGCCCAGTCGTGCCGTGTTGCCACGCCGTCTGGCCGCCGCCACCGCCACCTCCACCGCCACCGTCGACTCGTCTTCATGCATCCATCGAGCGCGATGGCCACTTCACAAGGTTAGAGTCCCAACTTTACAGTTCACAGTTGGCAATTCCGATTTCTGCGCTTCCAATCCCAAGTATTGAGCCTCGAGTCCAGGATTTCCAACCACCAGTTGTCTTGTTCGAGTCCCGATTCTTGTAGTTCGGACTCGGAGAAGAGACAGAGGCCCAAGTGATGGAGCGGGACGCGAAGCGGTGGACTGAGGCGAAGCGCGCCACGTGAATTGCAAGCGATTGTGCTTGACGCGACAGGCATGACAGCCTCCTTTGCGCGTGTGTGCATGTTTTTGCATGTGTGTATGCACTTTTGTGTGTGTGTGTGTGTGTGTGTGTGTGCCGGAGATCTACAGGACGCACCAATGCCCGTCTGCCGTGGTACCAGTGTCGGGCTGGCCAATGGACCGGCGCGACCATCACCACCCGTTCGTTTGTCCGTCCATCCGTCCGTGCCTTGGTCGGTTTTCCTGCTAGTGCACCGAGACAAGATACAACAATAAACCACGATCTCCACACGCACACAGGCTGGCGGTCCACGAGGATGGGGTTGCCGCAACCTCGCCCTCTCCGACTGTTCATAAATGCTTTCCCTTTCTCTCTCTCCCTCTTTCCCTCTTTCTCTGGCTCTCGCTCTCGCTCTCACTATGACCCATCAAACACACTCTTCGGCCGGCCACCAGACCTCGACTGGCCGAGAACATTGGGCAGAATATCGCCATGCTGACAGGAGAAAGACATCTACCAGCTTCGTCTGTTAGGGACAAGCCCTGTCGCTCTGTCCTGGTGCAATGTATGACTTTGCCTCGAAATCAGCCCACCAATG